GGGGAGGAGCCCTCGGGGACCTAGACGGGGCTAAAGCGGGGAGTCCGGGGTGGGCCTTGGAGAGGGGCGGCGGGAGGCGGTGGAGTGGGTTGAATACAGGCTCTGCTTGGTGCTAGATTTCCAAGGGGATGAAAACAGTGTCAAAGAACAAAGCCTGAAAGCAGGAGAGCTCGGTGCTGGGGAGATAAAGACCCTCAGGGCCTGTGGGGGGAGGTCTTAGAAGAGAGGGGGTTACCCTGACGGAGTGGAAGAGAGACAAAGGAAAGAGAAAACCCGCCAGGGGGCTGGGAGGGGAGATGGAGGGCGATAGAGGAAAGAATCTGCGTCACACAGATTCTAGGGCCACGTAAGAAGACCCTCGGCGCTCCTCTTAGGAATTGGTTGATGGATGCAAGATGCTTGTGCCAGTCCTGGGAGCACGGAGACGCAGTGAGTTAGAAAGTCTAGAGTTTGGGCTTAGAAAACCCCCCAGCTGCCTGGAGAGAGGAGGAGTCGAAGGACTAGAGGGTGGAGGGTGACATAGGTAGGCAAAGACTGGGGGGTGCAGCAGGTCCTGTGGTCGCCTCAACCCTTTGCTTACCTCTTCCCACCCTCAGTTAGTGCAGTTTTCCTTCCTTTTGCTACTTCTCTGGTTTCGAGGATGACCATGAGTTCATCCTCAAGAACTGCAGATTTTCATACTCCCAGCAACCACCCCTCCCTCCAGTTAGCCCCTCCTCCTCCCTCTGGGCCTTCAGGCTCATTTCCTGCCTGCAGTTAAGGCCCATACCTGCTCATTGACCTCAAGAGCAAATGGAACACGTACNTTCCTGCCTGCAGTTAAGGCCCATACCTGCTCATTGACCTCAAGAGCAAATGGGACACTGCGGGGCATTACCAGGTTTTGAATGGTGCAGAAGTTCCATTGATACAGCTATGAGAAGAGTGCCGGGTCAGCATGGGAGGGGAACAGGAGGCCAGAGACCAGGGAGAAGGCAGGTACAGGGGTCCAGGCACGAGAGGAAAGGGCTAGAGCTGGGACTTGGGGGTTGGAGTGGAGGCTACAACTCAAAACATCTCAGGATGAGGGAGTGGACAGGACCTGGTGCCTACCTGGCCTTGGGGAGTGAGGACATTTGAGGTTCCAGACTGGTGTGGATGGTGGGGCCTCATCGTGATCATGTCCCGGGAAAGAAGCAAGTTTATTTGGGGAGGGGAGATAATGCTTCACTTTTGGAGGGGGTGATTGCATTCATTCACTCATCCATTCATCATGCAACCAATATTGAACTGAGCCCCGACCCTCTCCTGAGACTGCCAGATCCTGAGGATAGAATGTTGACCGGTACAAAGCTGAGCCCTGCCCTCATGAGAGAAAAATGGTTTGGTTGCCTCCTGCATGTGCCTTGACTGGCGGTGGGAATCAAACCTGCAACCCAGGTATGTGTCCTTGACCAGGAATTGAACCCATGACCCTTTGGTGTGCAGTCTGATGCTCTAAGCACTGTGCCACACTGGCCAGGGCTTGCTTGCTTTTTTTTTTTTTTTTTTTTTTT